GACTCTTCACCAAAATGAAATTTCAAACTCCCATTTTTGACATCTATCACTGCACCGGCTGTAGTTAGAAAAGGACGGCCTAAGATAATTGGAATTTCAACATCTTCCTTCATTTCTAACACAACAAAATTAACAGGAATATAAAATTTCTTTACTTTAACTAGCACAATCTCCAAAATCCCCTTAGGATAAGTTAAAGATCTATCAGCTAGTTGCAAAGTAATGTTAGTGGATTGCAATTCTTTCAAACCAAGTTTCCTACAGACAGACAAAGGCATGAGTGAAACACTAGCACCCAAATCACACAAAGCTTTTCTAAAATCAACATCACCAATTGTAAGAGGAATAGAGAAACTCCCTGGATCTTTCAGCTTTGGAGGCAACTTCTTTTGAATGATTGCACTACACTCCTCTGATAATGCTATTGTCTTAAATTCTTCCACTTTCCTTCGGTTGTAGATGATCTCTCTCAAGAACTTTCCATAAGATGGAATCTGAGCTAAAGCATCTGCAAAAGGAATGTTTATGTATAATTGCCTAAAAACTTTAAGAAATTTCTCAAATTGCTTATCTTGCTTTGTTCGCTGCAATCTCTGTGGAAAAGGCACTGGTGGAACATAAGATTGAATTGGTGGTGAAACTGGTATCTTTTCTTCCTTTTTTTCCACCTTCTCTTCATCAATCTGTTCACTCTTCTTATTCTTCTCATCAACCATCACATAATCTTCATCAATTTTGGCTTCTTCTTGGTTACCTACTTGCTTTCCACTTCTTAAGGTAACAACTTTACAATGCTCACGTGGGTTGATATCTGGCTTGCTTGGCAAGTGACCTTGCTCACGAGAATTTGTTGATGTAGCTATTTGACTCACTTGCATCTCCAAGGTTCTATGAGCAGTATTCAACTGATCTAACCTTGCTTCTATTCTGTTGGACCGTTCATTGTTTTCACTTAAAAATTTCTCCATTCTCTCCAAACTTGCCTCCGTTGCTGACTTAGGTGTAGATTGGTATGACTTTGCTTGGAAACCAGGAGGGTTTTGAGGTCTTGCATTAAAGTCTTGATCCCCTTGATTATTCCAAGAAAAGTTTGGATGATTTCGCCACCTAGGATTATATGTGTTGGAGTATGGATTGTTCTGATGCTGAGGCTTGCTGAAATTATATGTGTTGGAGTTGCATACATTCAGAACTCAAATGAGGACCTCCACAGAACTCACAGACAGTGGCATGGAAGACTGCATTAGCATTTACAAGATTACACATCGCCTTAGTCAGTGCATCTATCTTTGCGTTCATGGCACTTAGTTCATTGACTTCATACATTCTAGCAGGCTTCTTGGAAACACTTCTCGAGTTCGACCATTGATTCCTAGTCTTTGCCATAATTTGAAACAATTCATAGGCTTCATCAATTGACTTATCCATCAATGAACCTCCAGCTGCAGCATCCACATTGTTTCTTGTAAAGTCTGTCAATCCTTGATAGAAAGTCTGAACAAGAGTACTTTTCTCAATACCATGGTGAGGATATCTTCTTTGCAATTCCTTGAATGTTGTCTATGCAGCATGAAATGTCTCATCATCTTCTTGAATAAATCCAGTAATTTGATTTCTCAATTTCGCTGCCTTATCTGGTGGAAAGAAATTGATCAAGAACTCCTTGTAAAGCTCATCTCGAATTGTGATGGAACCAGGATCGCAAGTATTCAACCAATTCTTCGCTTCTCCCCTCAGTGAAAAAGGGAAAAGTCTCAGCCGGATTGCATCTGACGTCACACCATTTATCTTAACAGTATCACAGATCTCCAAAAGTTGTCAATATGCGCATTTCGATCCTCATTGTTAAAACCGGAGAATTGATTCTGCTGCACCATCTCGATCAATGATGGCTTGAGCTCAAAGGTATTCACAGCAATGGTAGGCCTAGTAATACTTGACCTAGCAACATTCTCTGTAGGCGTCAAGTAATCCCTCAGTGTCCGAGTGTTTACTCTATCGCCCATGGTTTCACTCTGATTCTTCTCCTTTCTTAGCCTTGCTTCTTTTCTGTTCGCACGAGCTATTCTCTCGATCTCTGGATCAAATTGCAAAGTCTCAGAATTCGCACTTCGAATATAAAAAACCAGACAAAAATATTTGGAAGAAATAACTAAAATAGCAAGAAAGAGAAAAAAGATAAATAAAAAAAATCTAAACAAATAAAAGAAAGTAATCTGAATTTGATATTAGCTGCCTTCCCTGGCAACGGCGCCAAATTTGACAAGCCGTCATCACACTAGTCAAATATTAATTACCTACTTAATACAATTACTAGTATTAAAGTAGCAAGTATGGTCGATCCCACAGAGAAGGATACTAATTACCAGGTATAAATTACTCCTATTATTATCTAGATAAATGATGATCTTAGATTTATAAAATTTAATACTAAAATAAATAAATAAAATAAAAGAAAATAATATTAATTCAAATAATCAGACAAAGAAAACCTAGGACATTGGGTTCACCTACTGAATATTTGGTTTGGTTCAATTCATAAATATCTGACTTTTAACTTTCATTAATCTCACAACGATTCACCTCATTAGGAACTATTTACCGTCGTTATATAATTCTCTTACTCTAATTAATCCTATGACTACTGTCGTGACTATAGGATTAACAAAAGCAGATTAAGAACTTAAGAATCTAATGTTGCAAAGGTTGTGTTCCTACTGTCGTGGTTCATTACCTAAGTCCAATATTCCCATGAACTAAGATTAATTTTCAACTGTCGTTCCATCAATTAATATCTTTAAACATGCAAGTAGTGGCGAGTTACAAACAGGGAATAAAAGCAAGAATATTAAATATTGATCAATGGAAAAAATCAAAGTATCACGGATCAAATAAACCAAATAAAGCCGATGGCTACACCCAAGCCCTAGGTTAAAAAAATTTACCCACTAAACATTATAAAAAATAATTCAATAATATTTTAGAGACATAATCCTAAAAAGTCGAATTAAATAATTAAAACAGAAACACCCGGATGAAGGTAGAATCTCCGAAGAGCTCCCTGGTCGGCTTTGCACTTGCGGCTGCTACTAGCTCCCACTCTTTCTCCTTGGCTACTGCTGGTGCGTGGATGATGCTTCGGTGATGGAGTTGCTGGAATTGCGTGGAGCTTTTGCTAGTGCGTGGATTATGAATTGGAGAAAGGCAGAAGCAAGAAGGTGGAGTTGGGGGGCTGGGTTTTTTGGTTCGGTGGTGCGCAAAGGAAGGTGGGGCAGCAGTGATGGGGGATGATGATGAGGAAACAAGGTGTTGTCCGAGTTCGGTGATGGAATGATGATGATGATTAAGGTGTAGATGGTGGGTGCGTGAGGTGAGCAAGGAGGAGAAGCTCAAGGGGGTGATCAAGGTGGTGATCGGCAGAGGTGGAGTTGTGTGCTGCGTGGGAATGGAGGAGAAACAAGGTGGAGATCGGCGGAGGACGTAGGGTTTTTTTCGGTCAAGTTGGGTTGTAAAAATAAATCTCTAATCCTTTTTTTATAGGCTTCCGTCAAACCCTACTACTTGGATAAGAAGAAAACTTATTTCCCCAATAATATTGGAATTAAAATTCTTACCAAATTCAATCCCAATCACAACCGCATAAGCTTGCTTCGGCCAAACCCTAAGAAAAAAAACAAAAATTACAATTCAGTCCTCTAAATCTTCAAGTCTTCTAATTTCTTCCTTGTCAATTTATCAAATCTTTTTCTCCCCTTTGAGTTGCTTTTATCTTTATTTTAGCCCACAATTTCAACAATTCCTCCTTTTGAGTACAATTCCTACGATTAAAGATAAAATCATATAAATAGCACATTTGTACTCAAAATATTGGCAAAAATCACAAATTAGGGGTAAGTGACTATACGACTAGTTGTATGGATATGAAAAAAATGGTGTTTACTGAAAAAAATTCATATTTTAGTTATTAAGAGGTACAAGGTGTTTACTGTAACAGAAAAAAATGGATATTTTAGTTATTAAGTTGATTAAAAAAGTTATAACTGGCGCTGGTTACTGAACCAATTTAAAAAATGTACAAGTTGTACCAAAAAAATCTGTGTGTGTGTGTGTTTTTTTACTAACATTAAACAAATAAGAGGCAATCATTTGCGAAGGAAATCGTATAATTATTTATCATTTCAGGGTTTCATTTAGTGGTAATTATTGAGTTTACTAGCCCCTCTATGGGACAGTCTCCTGCAGGTCTCTACTAGAAGGATTCGTTTCATTCCCATGTCAGATTGAATGTGAATACATCCCATTCCCAAATTTGGGAATAAAGAAAAAGCTCATTTGTGAAAGACAACTTTTATGATTGATTACCTGCTTTAGGAGTTTAAAAGCTTTATTTCAAAGAAGCAACTATTACAACAATCAAATCAGAAAGACGGTCAGGTTTCCATTTCACTAAAATTGATTTGTTATGTTTTTTTCCCAAGCAAAGAGAACAAGTACCCCCTTCAGGCTTAACCTCCATTGCGTCTAAACCACCACTTGTACCATGTTAAGTCAAATTGGAACTAAAATTATCCAAATTCATTTAGTGTTTACCTTACATCAATTGATATATGTTTAACTTGCAAAACCAAAACAGCTATACAATTCATCTACATTGTAGTTTGTTGATTTGGACATCTAAGTTTATGCCTTTACTCTTGTTCTTTTCACAACCCTTTTTGCCTTATAGCTTGCCAGTTGCTTCATCCTGGCCAAATCTGAAAGGTAACCATCCTTTTGTGACAAAATGCCTAAGGAAACTAAACGTTGATTCTCTTCAGGCCAATCAAAACAATATTCGAAAAAGTTTCCCACCAATTTTTACACGAAACTTGTACATCAAAACATGTCCACCTGGATTCCATTATGTTAATAGTTACTACACATGCATCTAATTAACCACCTCACGAGATCATTGATCAACTATAAATAGAAGGGTTTTAGGGTTGGGTTTTGCATTCATTTTCACCATAGTATTTCTTGTTAATTTTATTGATTTCATTCTCAAAAGCTAAGATATTATGGCTTTCAAGACTCCCCTTTACTTTCTTCTCTATGTTATGATATTATCATTTGCTACATTCTGCTTAGCAGCTGATGATGAACCTTCCTATTGCTCCAAAGCTGTTTATTATAAATCCGAAGATGGTGAAGGCACTCCAAGTATATAATTTTCCTCAAAAAAAAAGAAAAAAAAATCCTATTTTCTTTTTCATTATTGTTATCAATGTGCCAATGATCCTATAATAAGATATTAATCAAGTTGTTAAAAAACCATGCTAGTTTATGATACGATTTGTTGGTTTCAATTATTTATTGATTAAAATATTCATGATTAATTATGCAGATGGAGCTTGCGGACTGAAAGAATGGGGAAAAAAATTCAACGACGGTAAAGTTGCCGCCGTCTCTAAGCTGTTCAAGGATGGTAAAGGCTGTGGTACTTGCTATGAGGTTGGTTTTTGTCATCCCCTTTTTTCTCTTGTAGCTTTTTGATTAATTTGATGTATATCAATCCCATAAATTATTTAACAAATCTATATTTTATAAATTCATTATTGTTATTTTCTTAATTCAGGTTAAGTGCAAAGATAAAAAGTGGTGTAGTGAGAAGGGCGTTAAGATAGCGGTGACGGATTATGGTGCAAGCGGCGAGGATGTTGATTTCATCATGAGTGAAAAAGGCTATGGAGAAATGGCCAAAGATGAAGAGTCTAAAAGATACCTGTTCAAAAAGGGCGTGGTCAAAATTGAGTACAAGAGGGTTAAATGTGATTATGAGAAGGAAAAATCCGATTTCGTTGTGAAATATGACAAGAAGGATAGCAAGTGGCCTGATTACCATAGCCTGGTAGCACTCTACAAGGGTGACAAAGACTACATTGAGAAGGTTAAAATCTTTGTCAAGGTATGTACTATTCTTTACGTCTCAAAAATATACAAGACCATTTTATCAAAATTACAATGCATTTATAGATTGTTCCTCATTTTGGGGTATGATTTTGTGAAGGATGAGAAGAAGGAGAAGTTGGAGCTTAAGGAAATGAGAAGGGCATATGGAGCAGTTTGGGACATTGCTAATTACAAGCCAGTTCCATTCGTGAAGATCAAGAAGGGCAAAGAAGAATATTTCCAGTGGGTTGAAGGCATGGATGAAGACAAGTGCGAATCTGATGATCATTCTGCTAAACAAGCCAAGGATCATCTCAACTAAATTATTGCTCCGAAAGAAAAGAGTGTATTTCACCTATAAAAGAATATGGTTGAGTACTTTGATTAATGGGGTTCATACCCTTTTGATTTAGCTAAATAAATATACAAGTTAAAAGAATGTTGTGTGTTAATCAAGGTCATTGTTTCTGTTTATTTATATAAAAATGTGAAATATAAGGAAGTTAAACTAAGTAATACTGTTGATTTGTTTTATAATGCAAATTTTATAGTTTGCTTGTCTCAAAATCCTAGCTCCGAAAGAGGGTTTTGTTTATTGTTTAATAACTGAAATTAATATCTTAGGGATCATTCTAAATGCGGGACAGGGGTGAATCCTTGTAACTATGAAAAACAATAAAATAAATATTATTGCTTCTGAAAGCAACTGCCCAACCACAATAAAAAAAACTTTGGTTAATTTGGTGGCTACATCAAGTTCATCTTTATCAAAATATTAAGTTCAATCAATGGGTGGAAATTGAAATTGTCGAACCAAATTGAGTTGAGATATTCTTCTGGTAAGATGGCTGTGCAATGATTCTATATTACTCTAAAAGTGTTAGGAGCACATCGGACAGAACTTGTTACTACTGCAGCTAACTAACTAGTGCTTATATTAATATGGTATTCATTAACTCTTGCTCAGAATGTTTGAAACACTAAGAAATCTCTCACGTCATTTATAGAATCCCCATCAAGAAACACTGGAACTATAGAATCGTCTCAACTCTCAATAACACATAATATACAGGAAAAAAATCTCTATAACCATGTAAGGTGATAGAAAAATTAATATTTATATGTTCTAAAATGATTGTTTATTCGTATTAATTTTCAGAAAACTTGGACGACCAAATGGAAGCTATAAAGTGCCTAGTTTGAAGAGGACCTTTGATCGAGCTCTACAAATTCAATCTCGATAATAATTTTAGGAAGGAGAGAGTAACATTTATATGCACCCAATTAAATCCCTAGTTTAGGTTAAGTAATAATTTTATGAGGCAAATTCTTGACAGGTCCAAAATACTTACGTTGCTAACATAGATTTGCATGCAGGCTGGGTCTATTTTTACCGTTAGACGATTAGTTTCATCCCCATAGCGCGTCGCACAAGTCCATGACACAGATGGAATGTAATATCCAAAAACAATACACCCGAAACACAGATCCAGATTTCAATTCAATTACACTAATATTCGAGAATTTGGTGTTTTTTTTTCCCCAGTAAAGACAACGACTACGGTACGTACGTACTACCCGCCCCCACCACCCCCTCCCGCCCCCGGGGATTTCAATTCACCACTTGTATCATGTTAACTCAAATTGGAACTATTTTTCCTAATTCATTTAGTTTTTTTTTTGATTACCTTAAACCATCAATTTACATGTCAATTTGCAAAACCAAAGAACAACTACACACCAATCTACATTTTGTTTGAGGATTATGTACAACTAATAATTGGTACGTATCGAAGCTGGTTAGCTTAAAATTTGAAAATTTTGAATTTTGGATTTGAAGTTTGAATTTTGTGTTTGGTACCGAATTATTTTTCCGCTAATTGATTGAGAAGATGTAAGTTTAATTTTGAACATTATGGTTCGAACGACTTTTTCTTTCTTTTTTTTTTTTTTTTGTGGAAGATGAAGATGAAAGGTTCTTCGATTCAGCAAAAGTGCGCTACACCATTTAAGGAGAAGATAAATTTCTAAGAATCTATCGACAGTGCATAAAAAAGAGATTATTGAGAATGCCCATAGTGCAGTACTGTTGAGTCTGTTAGATGAAGTATTGCGGGAAGTTGCGCATGAAATAACTGTAACAAGTATGTGGGAAAGTCTGGAAACACAATACAAGAAGAAATCACTAACAAACAGACTGTATCAAGAGTAGCGTTTGTTTATGCTATGAATGACAGAAAGTACGACAGTTAAAAATCATGTTTATAATTTTTAACCTGATTATCTTGGATTTGCAGTGTAAAGAATTGAAGAAAAAGTTTTCTAAATCGGGAGAGGATGGTACAGAATCAAGTCTCTTTGTAAGTAGAGAAAGAAACACTGAAAGAGATGGTGGAGAAAAAGGTAGGTAGCCTTTGAAATCAAGAAAAAGACTAATTAAGTGTTATTCAGATGGCGAAAATGGGCACTTCAAGTCAGACTATCCACGAAATAATAGAAATGATAGAAAGGACAAACAGTGTAATGGCAATATTGTTGCAGTACACAAAGCTCCGATAAAAGAGATGATGATGATGTTCAGGTTCCCAGCACGCTGATTCTGCAAAAGTCAGGGCTATGGACTTTGGTGCATATTATCACATGACTTTCTTACTGGAATTGTTTACTTTTTTTAGGAAGTGGAAAGGTAGTGTTAGATTAGATGATGGTAATTAAGGAGTTTGAAGTCAAAGGCAGCAGTATAGTGCAGATAAAGATGCACGACGGAATCATTAGGTCATTTGACGCATGGTATGTTCCTGAGCTACGGAGAAGTTTGATTGCTATGAGCGCACTTAATAAACAATGGTACATTTTGTTCTGGTGAAGATGGACAAATGAGAATTCTTAAAGGTGCTCTTATAGTAATAAAAGGGAAATTATAGCATGAACTCTATCACTTAATGGGAAGCTTTGTGATACGAACGATGGTTGTATTTGAATCTCTACGAATCTTGAGCGAGAAAGGACTTTTGATATTACACAAACAAGGATTAATATTGGGTGGAACAGAGACTAGGAAATTAGAACTTTGTGAGGCTTGCGTATGAGAGAAACAACGTAGAGTTAAGTTCAGTTTTAGCAAACATACATCCAAGGATATTCTTGAATATGTTCATTCAGATTATGGTGTCCTTCTCCAGTTGTTTCTCAGGGCATATGCCAGCATTTTGTCACGTTCATTGATGACTACTTATAATGTTCAAGGAGAAGAACACTATGGTTGAAAAACGGAGTGAGTAACAAGTCAAGACACTCAGAACAAACAATGAGTTAGAATTTTATAATTCACCATTTGATGAGTTCTGCAAGAAAGAAAGTATAGTGAGGCACCGGATTGTACGTCATACATCACAGCAAAATAAGGTTACAAAGTGGATGAATTACTCTGTTAAATCATTTTTTTTCTTCAAAAAGTTTGGGTGTTTAAGTTTTAATACGTATGGTTTAATTATCCTCCTTTTGACATGAATTTAACCTGTTTTTATATCATAAGAGGTCAATTGGACTCAAAGCAACAAAATTCCTATACAGGACTTTAGTGATAGACATTATTTCACTTCAAAATTATAATGTACTACTAAAACCAAATTTTTGTATCCATTTAGAAGTTCATTATTCTACTAATCAGTGGATATTTACGCTAATGTTGTTCAAGAGAGCTTTTTTCTTTTTCATTTAAGATGCAACATATTCATGTGAATAATTAATTAACTTCTCAACATGGGAGAGTGTAACATTGCTTTAATTTATTGATTTTTTTGTTCTTTAAAATAAGAGGAATAACGAAATTAACAAATCTTCAGATATGCGCAGAACATTGAAATTAGCTAGTAACTTAGAAAACAGAAAGTTCATTTGTGAAAGTACTTTTGTTGTCCCCTGCTTTAGGCGTTTAAAGCCTTGTTATTTCAAAGATTTGGGTAGATATATTTCAAAAAAATTAAAGATGTGGATATTACGACAATCAAATTAGAGGGAAGATCAGGTTTCCATTTCACTAAAAATTGATTTGTTATGTTTTTTTCCCAGCAAAGGCTGCTACTACCCCCTTTAGGCTTAACCTCCATTGCGTCTAAATCACTACTTATACCATGTTAAGTCAAAATTGAACTTAATTTTTTCCTAATATATACAGTTCTTTTTTTCTTACAACATCAATAGACATGGATTACGTTCAAAATACTACAAATCCATCTACATTTTAATTAGTTTGTCGATTTGGACATCTATACTCTTATTTTTTCACAGCCCTTTTTGCCTTATAGCTTGTCAGTTGCTTCACCAAGGCCAAATCTGAAACGTAACCATCCTTTTGCGACGAAATGCCTAAGAAAGCTAAACGTTAATTCTCTTCAGGCAAATTAAAACATTCAACAAGTTTGAATCTATTTGTACACGAAACTATAATACATCAAAGAAAATGTCCACCTGGATTCCATTATGTTAATAGTTACATCTAACCACCTCAAAAAAACGTAACCGGAGAGCAGTGATCAACTATAAATTGGGGGGGGGGGGATTAGGGTTGGGTTTTGCATTCATTGTATATATATAAGAACCATATTATCAAAATTACATTGTATTTGTAATTTGTTATCATCTTTTGTTTCAACTTTTTGGTTTATGATTTTTTAAAGGATGAGAAGAAGAAGAAGTTGGAGCTCAAGGAAATGAGAAGATCATATGGAGCAGTTTGGGACATTGCTAATTACAAGCCGACTCCATTCGTGAAGATCAAGAAGGGTAAAGAAGAATATTTCCAGTGGGTTGAAGGCATGGATGAAGAAGACAAGTACAAATCTGATGATCGTTCTGCTAAACAAGCCACTGATCATCTCATCTCTAAATTATTCCTCAGAAATGAAAGAGTGTATTTCACACTAAAAAAAAATACGCTAGTACTTGATTTATTGGGGATGGGGGATTCACGACCCCAAGTTAGCAATATATACATATATATATAGGGAAAATCTAGAGTCCCGTTGGCCATTTTTACGGAACCGTCCCGTTTTGTCTTCAACCAATCAAAATTGAGGGTATAAGATGTAACCATGTGGTGAATAACATTCTATAATATCATAAACTAATGGAGAAAATGATCACTTTTGTCCAAAACATCAAGTTTCTGGCCATTGACTCAAAATATTTTTGGAAAACCAAATTCACCATCTTAATTTCAATTTTTTGCCAGTTTAATCCAAATTGATGAGAATTCTGTTTAGATTTAATATTTCCACTGACATTCCGTTACTTAGTACAATTTTTTATTGGTAAAAAATTTTGTTGGCCTAAAATTTTAACATTTTATCTCTAATGTGTTGTTATTCAGTAAGATATGCTTATCTTACCATTTAATTATTATAACGTCCATACCACATAATTTATCTCCTAATCTAATTCATTGCTTCCACCCTAAGCCTCTTCCTTTTCTTCCTCTTTTACTTGTTTTCCGCTGTCGCACCACCACCGCCCCTTTCCTCTTCTCTCCTAAAAATTACCATCACCACTTCTTAAATCTGTGAGGATTTCAAACCATCATCATAAACATAAAAATTTGCCTCCACTAACAGTACACAATCCTCCCTCCATCACTACCCGCAT